GCCTGGCCCCGCCCCGCCCGCTGGCCCCGCCCCCGCCCCAGTTGGAGGGGACAGGAATGCTGACTACTCTCCCCTGATCACAGCACAGTGTGTACCTGTGTCAGCTTAGCGCTCTGCATTCCAAAATACATAGATTTTATGTCAGTTTAAAAAACATCTGGGCGAGGGGGTGCATCCCTGTCATTCCAGCAGTGGGAGGCTGAGGCAGGAGGATCGCTGTGAGTTGGAGGCCAGCCTGGACTACGTAGCGAGAACTTGTCTCCAAAACAAGTAATAACAATAATAACAAAAATTCTTCTAAGTAGAAAGTAAATAAATACAGCAGGTCCCCGGGAGACAGCCAGGCACAGCTTCTCCTCCCTCCGCAGAGGCCCCTGATGTCACACTGGGGGACTGTGACAGCCTGCTGTGGGCACAGCTGAGCCCCTCCCAGAGCCACGGGCGCCTCCCTCCTGCTGGGACCCTAGGAGGAGGAGGAGATGAACAGTTCCCTGCACTACCTGGCCTACCCTGCGGTTGTCTCCAATCACAGGCAGACCACCGGCTTCAGGAGAAAACTGGACCTGGACCACTACCTCTCTCACCAGAAGCGGCTCCAGATAGGTCGGGCGGTGGGGACCTGCGGCCCAGCCAGGGGTGGGGGAACCTCAGGGACACTCAGGGCCACCCAGAGCCAGCCGGCTGGCCCGGCGACCCAGCCTTGCCCACGCTGCGTGGCTCAGGAGTTTGTCTTGGGACCGCAGCCTCAGCCCGAACTCTGTGGCTGGCGTCAGAGGCTGCTCTGGAGCATGGTGCCCAGTGTGGGCCGGTGACGCGGGAGGGTGGCTCGGAAGCTGTCTCGGGGCTGAAGGACACCACTGTCCCTAGATCGGACTCCATCCACATCCTCTCATCCTCTCATCTCTGAGTGGACTCCAGAGGTGTCACTTTGGGAGATTAAACCAGAATGAGGGTCGTGGCCGGAAGTCAAAACGCTATGGCTGTGACCCAGAGCTGGGCCCAGGGTTTCTGAGGCTGCTGTCCGGTCCCTGGGCTGTGACACTGTTCTTCTTGCCGTCCCCTGTCTAGTGAAGCCCACTGTAGACACCAAGCCCCCTGCGGCACACACACATCTCATTTTAAAGCTGCGCAAACTGCAGGTATCTTTTTCATCCTAAAGAGATCCAGCCCCAAGCCTCCAAGGGATCCACTGCTCCTGCCCGGCCGCCCCTGCCCCTCGGTGCCCAAGCGCTGCCCTGGTCTCCCTGGGGTCCTCAGGTGTGCTTTCCCACAATCCCGAGGGGCAGCGGCCCGCACTGAGCCGTGCGCGGCCCCATGATGGGCTGGGGCTCTTACAGTGCGAGCAAGAGAGAATCGACAAAATCGAGTACGAGAACAGGCAGCTGTGCGAGAAGATTGCCAGCATGTACTGTGGCCCCGCGAAGGTGGACTGCTGGAACTCATACTTCTCCAGGAGGTAGGGCCGTGCCGTGGAGGGGCCCGCGGGGCCCAGTGCGAGGCTCCCCGGGGGAGGGTCCCCAGGGACCGGAGACCACTCAGGAAGGAGCAAGGCTCAGAAGGGCCTCACGCCGGCGTGCCCAGACTTCACCGAGGACACTTGCTGAGCATCGCGGTGTGTGGGGCAGGCAGTCCGGCCTCCATGCCAGAATCCAGGTGGCTGTGCCTCGGGGCTCCGGGGCCGGAAGTCGGAGGCCAGGGCAGGGCAAACGCAGTGTTGGGTCAGGGCTGCTCGCTGCTGTGTGCACTCCTGGCTGCTGGCTAAGCTTGGCAGTGTGGGGAGGGGTTGCTCTCGGATAGGAGCATGGGTCCCACTGGGGCACCTGGTCACCCCCAAGCCCCTCCTATTACCACCACCGCCCTGGGTGAGGGTTTCAGCCTAGGAATTGTGGGGGACACAGGCGTCAGACCACAGCGCCCCAGCTAAGGCTGGGACATGGCGTTCTTTAGACCGGACCCACACCCGCTTCCTGGGTACCGCTATGTGCCACGCACCAGGAATGTGAAATGAGATTCATATTGCTGGCATGGTGGCACAGAGCCATCATCCCAGTACTCTGGAGGCTGAGGCAGGAGGATCACCTCCAGTTTGAGGCCAGCGTTGAGATGAACCCCAACTTGCCACCTGCCCTTGTGACTCATTTATCAGGCGTCGGCCCTGCCAGTCGCGGTCTCTGGGAGCCTGGACAGAAGGCCCGGGCCCAACACCCGTCCCAGACCCGCAGAGCCGCATCTCCCGGCAGGCAGTGGGGCTGGCACCCGGCGCCTGCGCGGCGGGGTCACCGGGCTGCCTTGCTGCCTGGGTGGGCACAGGTCGCGCTGCACGCGGGCGCCGCCTGGTGGTGAGCACCGCCCCACCCACCTGTGTGGTCCTCTTCAGCTTGAACCGAGAAATGCGGAACCGCGAGCTCATGCGCATCACAGCGGAGAACCAGGCCATCCTGAGGCGGCTGGGCAACTGCAAGTCCCACTACGACCGCAGGGTGTCCGAGATGGACTGGCAGGCACGTGTGAGGCACCGGGGGCCCCAGGGCACAGCGGGTCACTCCGCCCAGAAGCCTCAGGGCACCTGGCAGCAAGGAGCTGTGAATCCCAGGCTCTCGGGAAACCACCGGGTGCAGGCAGAGCTGGGGCGTGAGGGCCAGAGTGCCGGCGTCTCGTGGGCACCGCTGCGCCGGTGCTGGGCACACTTGGTAGCATCTTCCTGCGTCCTCACTTCACCTCCACAGGCAGAGTAGGGGAGGCCCAAGGTGTTCCCCAGCTTGCTGACCGGCCCCTTACGCAGCTCCCCCAAGAGGCTGTTCGGGGGCGGGTGACAGTAGGGCTGTGTGGTTTGTGTGGTGCCGGACCTTGAACCCAAGGCCTCCTGCAGGCTGGGCAAGTGCTCTGACCTTTGAGCTACATCCCAGGCCCCCTTTACATTTTGCTTAGCCTGGGCACTAAGCAGCCCAGGAAGGCTTCAAACTTGTGATTCTCCTGCCTCAGCCTCCCAAGTGCTAAGGTTACAGGTGTGCACCACCGGCATCTCCGCAGTGTTTTGAAAGCCCTGCCCTTCCCGGCTTTGCTAAGCTTTCTTAGGACTTAGAACTTCAGCTGCAGCCCCAGTGAGCTAAACCTGTTTGATTTTCTTCCTTCCAGAACTCCAGGCGCTACATCCGGAACACAACCAGGTACCTTCTCTCCCAAGATGAGTAGGTAAGAGCACCACCCTGGCCCCCCGTGAGCCCTGCTCGGGGAGAGGCTGCCCCTGCCCTAGGGCTCCGGCACCTGCCCAGGGCCCTCAGCTCCTCCCCCTGCTTCCCCTACACGAAGGAAGTGACGCGCACCTGTCATGTGAGGCTTTGCGGGTGTCGGAGGGGAAGTCACCGAGGACAGGACACTGCCGAGGCTTCCGGGCCACTCTGAGTCTCGAGACCCTCAGGATGCCACAATAAAGCCCGGGACAATGGTGTCAGATGGTGGAGCTGCACGCATTTGTGTCGGGGTGATGGGGAGAGAAAGGGACGCAGGGACAGGAGGACTGGAGCGCCTCGTGGGCACGGCTCCGTGAACATCCCAGGCGGGAGGTGAGGTCCTGTCGCAGGCCTGCGGTGGCCAGGCTGCTGTGGAGCCTGATTGTGGCTGAGAGAACACGCTCGCTCCTGCTTGTGGCGGGCAGGGTGGCGGTTCTGGCCCCATGACCAGCGGGCAGTGGGCAGCAGGCCATCAGCATCGGTGCCAAATGCCACGGCCTCTCCGCGTTGGGTTGGAAATCCTCTCAGCAATAAACAGTGGACCGTGGTCTCCGCCCAGCCCTCCGCGGGCTCCAACCCTGTTACAGCCCTCCAGTCAGTCCCCGCCCTGGGGATGGCTTCTCCTAACTCTGATCCCGAAGTCCCCAAACAGCGGGGCTGCAGAAGGAGCAGGCCCACACCGCTCCTGCTAAGTCCCGGCCCAGCACCTCAGATGCCCACTTGCCTCAGATCTCTGGTTTCCAGGACGGCCCCTCGGTCCTGGCCCTTCACACTTTCAGGCCCCGATGGGCACATGTCGGCACTCGCAGGGCAGCAGGGCTGTGCCTGGTTCTCCTGGCGCCCTCGCTCGGCCCTGCAACCGGTACGACACGAGGACCAGGAAAGCGATGCCAGGCAGGGCTGCACTGACAAGCGTGCTCCAGCACTGGTGCGTGTGCGTGCAGTGCTCTGAGGGTAAACAGCCGATGCCCAAGACACCCACACTATCAGCGGCAGACGCTCTCGTGCCACCCTCCCCAGCCCCAACGGCGGGCACGTAATCCGCTTTCCCGCTTTCACAGGTCTTACATAAACAGGTCATGCAGGAGACCCTTCCTTGTGGCATTAGTTTGGTTCTCTCCACATCATTTCCCTGAGGTTCATAGCCTGTCCCTTTTTGTTGCTGCGTAGTACTCCATGTTCCAAGCTATGGATGGATCATGATCAGTTCTACCATGAACAGAGCTGCCAGGGAGACCTGTGCACACGTTTCTGCATGAGACAGGATAGGATTCGCTGGAGAAGCCCAGTAGCAAGTGATGCAGCTGTTCTGGTCTTGGGGAGATCAATGCCAGTATCTGGGGTGTGACACTACTGCGGTCTGACCATGCGCCACCTCGGGGTCTGAGTGAGGGGTCCCAGGGCCCTCTATTATGTGCACATGAAACTCGTTATGATAAAGACATGAAAAATACCAAGATGCCCAAGTGCAAATTCGTTACTAACTGGTCCAGTCCTGCTTGGGCTGCGGGCCCGTCCTTCCAGGCACCAGGTGGGCAGCTGGGGTCGTCCTTCGTCGCCTGGTCCTCACTGCCCCCTGCTCAGTGCAGCCCCATCACAGTAGCTGCTATCTATAGGATTCCCACTGCTATGTGTGCAACAAAACCGGCTTTGTCTGGTTCGAGCAGTGAGATCATTTATGGAAAGAACATACATTTGTGAACAGTCTTTCCTAGGGAACTGAGGACCAGCTTCTCAGCACGGCTCACAGCCCATGGCCACCTGGAACAGACCTGGCTGCACGGCCACGATGGCCTTCAGAGGACCCACATTCTGCCACCCCGGTTGCCAGCCCGGGCACCAGGACGGTGAGGGGTCTGCGGGTGCCCAGCCTCAGCTGCTGGGGAGGGGCCACGTGGCTTCTCCCCTTGGGACGTGCTGCGCTCCGGCTCTGTGCAGGAGACAGCAGGCGCTCTGCCTGAGCTTGGAGGGGCCCTGGCGCCCCGCTCCACAGACCCGGCCTTTTCCAGATGAGTTTTTCTCCTACTACTGGTGCTGAACCCCAGGGTGCTCCTCTACCACTGAGCCACGTCCCCAGCCCTTTTTGTGTCTTGTTTTGAGACAGGGTCTCACTAAATTGCCTAGGCTGGCTTCCAACTTGGCAGTCCTCCTGCCTCAGCCTCCAGGGTAGCCTGAGCTACCACAGGTGTGTGCCGCCACACCAGCTTTGTCTCATGATTTAAAATGGTCCCGGGGCTGGAGCTTCCGGCTCGTTTTTTGGGCGCCATTCATCTGTGGGAGGGAGTTTGGGTGCTGGACTGGGTGCCAGACGCCTGCTGGTTTCCCGGTCACCGCTGTGGGCTCGGCCCCATTCCTTCCGGACAGCGCGGCCTAGTGCTCGGAGCTCTGGAGCTGCAAGTGGCCTCCTGGGTGAGCTCGAGCACCAAGGAAAGGGTGCTCCGAGCTGCTCCGGGCCGGGGTTCTGCCAGCACAGGGTTCAGACTCCGCCCTTGGTTTCCATCCAGGTGTTCTTCCGCTGCTCAGAGTGCAGTGTTCAAATCCCCAACAAAAACTGCACATTTCTACGGAAATTCCTAGAAAAACTAAAACTAGAAATTCCATTGGATCCAGCTGTTCTTCTGAGAATCTTCCGGAAAACGTGAAAGCTGTCGTACCACAGACATCCATGCACACCCACACGCACAGCACCGCAACTCGTCATGGGTAAAACTTGGAGGCAGCCTACGTGCCAATCAACACATGGATGGACAAAGAATTCACTATTTGGGCCGGGGATGTAGCTCAGTGGTTCCGCTGCCTGCCTCGAAAGCACAAGGACCCGAGTTCGATCCCCGGTACCAAAAAAAAAAAGAATTCGGTATTTACACAATGGAGTACTACTGTGCCATAAAGAAGGATAAATGAGTCATTTGTAGGAAAATGTATGCATCCTGAGATCATGGTAAGTGAAATAAGTCAGACACATGAGCTTCAATATTGCGTGGTGTTTTCCTTATATGAGAAACCCAGAGTAAAAATAAAGAGCAGCATAAAAGATAGATAATAGGAAGCAGGGAGACAGAGCTGCTGCAAATGGGAAAGGGATCGAGGCGGGAGAGGGAGGGAAGAAAAGGAGATGAGAGAACTCAGACGTGTTCCGTCCGTGCCCAGCTGCCCACGACGTGATTACGACCACAGACGCGGACTGAGGGAATGGAGAAGCCGGTACGTGTGCGTTTGTCTGTTTTTCCTTCCCGCTGGCATCGGTCGGCTCCGGGCGTCTTGGAGCCCTGGTGTGTGGGCGCACAGGGGCCCCTCTTCCTGGGGGCTCAGCCTCTTCCCGGGGTGTCAGTCTCCAGAAACTCGCTGTCCCCAAGCCTGGGCACCCAGTGCCCGAGGGAGGGCGCAGCAGCGCGTCCCTGGGGCCCCCACTCCCCGCGCCGGGACGGGCGCTGCCCGCTAGAGACCAGGAGGTGAGCGACGCTCAGTCCTGCCCCGCCCTCCTGCGCTCCGCCCCCGCAAGCCCCAAGCTCCTGCCCCTTCGTCCCGACGCCCTCCTCCCCTCCTCCCCGCTGAGGGCGCTGCTGGAGCTGCTCCGCCCGCCCAGCTCCGTCCCCCGCCCCGCCTTCGGGCCCCGCGACGGCTCCTCCTCCGAAGTCTACTCTCCCAGCACCGACCTGCTCTTCAGGGTCACCTCTGTTTCGTGGCTAAGTCCTTCGGGAGCCACAGCTGATCCTGAGAGATGACTGCCAGCCAAGGGCTCCCTCGGCCTGTGGGCCTCTGCTCCAGAGCGCGGGCAGCGGTCTTGTCATGAACGCTGGGTCCTCAAGTTCTGCCCCACAGTCCTGTCCTCAGCTGCTGTGCGGCGGCTGCTGCCAGGCCCCTGCTGCTGTCGCCCATGGGCCAGAGTGCCAGGCTGGGCGGACGCTGCGGCCGCCTCGCGCCGTCGGGGGAGGAGGGGCTCGCCCTTGCTGGGTTTGTTGCCTTTTCTGCTGTGCTCTGGGTCCGGCCGGCCGGGAGGGGACAGGCCACGCGGGGAGCTCGCCCCCCGTGCTGAGTCCGAGCCCCTCTCTCTGGCTCTGCCACATAATCTCCAGGCATCGACTTGTACTTAGGGAAGAGGAAAGAGCAGCTGACACCATGGTTCTGAAACCAGAGGCTGACTCCAAGGGGCTACTCGCACATTCGGAGAGGAGGGAGGATACACGCGGAAACGGACTGGCTCCTTTAACAAACGTCTTTCCACGTCCGCCGACGCCCGCAGCTGGTGCCTGCATCCCGGGTGCCGTTGCTGGGGAAAAGGACAGAGACGGGCAGCACAGACTCCGTGACACTAAGTGAGCAGATGCATGACCGAAGCACCAGGGTGGGCAAACTGCGGGATGGATGCTCACATTTGGTTTTCAGTCTTTTGAGACAGGGTCTTGCTATGTCGTCCAGGAACTCACAGCAGATCCTCCTGCCTCAGCCTCCCCAGTGCTAGGAGTACAGGTGTGCACCACCACGCTAGCAGGATGTTTAGATTTTTTAAAAGATTACAGGAGAAGACACACTGCCGTGAATCCCCCTTAAAAATCCTCCCCCTCAATTCATCCCGCTGCCCTGATCCCTTTCTGACTGAAGCAGCTCTGGAGTGCTCTTTCTTGAGGGTCTTTGAGATGTGATCAAAAACAGTGACCGCTGCCATCCAAAGGACAGCCAGGCTCAGAAAGACAGGACGCTGCGTGCTCACTGCCTGTTCACCGGGCCTGGCACTGTGCACTCCTGGCTTTTCCTCAAAGTCAAGATGACCGTGAAAGGGAATCATTTTGAGTAGATTCAGGACATCAAGGCAGCCAGGACAGCACTAGACACTCAGGAGAGGCCACCAGAGCTGCTGCAGAAAGGGGCAGAAGGATGGGATGAGTGTGTTAGAAGTGAGGGAGGCAATTTTCTGTGAACATTCACCACATTTCCCGATCACACCGAGCTGCTGGTTGACACGCAGCATCCCTAGCTCTGCAAGGGGCAGAGAGCCAGAGCTCTGAGGCTCCGCCGGCGGAGCGAGAGGGTGGCAGGGTGGGGACCCCTCGCTGGTCAGGGCTGCAGGGTGAAAACACTCGCTGAGGTGCTGGATGGGTCTGGAGTGCAGGAGCCAGGTCCCACCAGTCCGTGCAGCACTGAGGGTGCCAGGGACGGGGCTGTGATCCACAAGCCCTCCGTGTGGCCAGGCTGTGCCTGGTGAGGCAGGAGCAGAAACCCTCAGGCCTTGCTGGGGCTGCGCCCGAGTTTCAGTGAGCTCCGTTGCTGGGCGAAGCACATCCGCGATGCTAGTTCACACACACACACACACACACACACACGTTCTGCCAGCGTGCATTTTACTGACACTTTTCTGCTTTCTAACAGCAAAACCGAACCCCCCCAGTGACCCATCCCTCCCCCTTGTGCCCGACCAGCAGCAGGCAGAGGGCAGCTGGCCCGGGGGTGGGAGGCCTTGAGGCCTGCGCATCTGCACACCCGGCCCGCGGCACGGAGAGAAACGTGTCCCTGGGGAGCTGTGCAGAAGGTCCAGGGTCCTGGGAAACGCAGAAGACAGCGCATCTCACGGTGCCACCACGGCCCCGGAGGACAGGCCCTGGCAGTACCCCTCCGTTGCCTGAGAAGGGAGCTTAGGCCCCAGTCCTTCTGCCCAGTACCCACTCTGCCCCTGCTGGCACCCTCTAGGCGCCATCCGGGCACTGGGGTCGAGCAAGCCCTCCTGGGAGCTGCCAAAAGGAACATGGGATGGAGACACCTTGGTGGGCAGGAGCCCTGTGCCCTGTGCTGTGTCCCCCGTAATCTGACCCCTCTGTACAGCAAGCAGCCACCTCTCCCTCAGATGGCACGGCACATGGCACTGTCACTGTGATTTCATCGGTGGCTTCAATTATGGGACCAACAAGAATGAGTGTTGAGCTGGGTGTGGTGGCGCACGCCTGTCATCCCAGCACTCAGGAGGCTGAGGCAGGAGGATTGCCACTAGAGTTCGAGGCCAGCGTGGCCTACACAGACAGAATGTCGGGGTGCTGGACAGTGGGTGGGAGGAATGGTCTTTGGGTCTGGGAGATTCAGGCTCAGATCTACGCTTTGTGAGCTCCAGCACGTTATTTAGGTCTCAGCCTCATCTTGCCCCGACTACATGGGTTCGGGACTCTTACCCCTGGCCTCCTGTACCCGTGAGGGTCAGGGCAGAGGCCTTTGAGTTGCGCCTGACAGGACAAAGCCTTGCACTTGCTGGCCACTGACCGCTGGAAGGAGCCGTGTCCCAGCCCATGTGGCCATCACTACTCAGCTCAGGGCCAGCCGTGAGGCTGCGCCCTGCATCTGCGTGCTCCGGGATGGGTGGACACAGCAGGGCTCAGGCTCGGCTTCCTGGGAGGGAGTCGCTCAGGCCCCAGGACCCAGCACCAGGAGCCGGCACCAAGGCCACTGCCAGCCCCAAAGGGGCCGACCAACGGGACAGGGCGGACCGGACAGGGCGAGCACTGTGTTAGGAACGGCTGCGGGCAGGGGACAGCGGCCTCGGGCCCTGGGCAGAGAAGAGGCCAGTGATTCACGGGCACCGGGCACCTCTGGCATTGAGACAGCCTGCATGGTGCCCTATGGAAAATGGCACCAGAACAGCTTCCCCGATACCAAGCAGCACCGTGCCAGCAAGTTCAGTGAGCTGGGTAACAAGGCTGTTGAGGGATGGAGCCGAGGTGGCAGCAGAGCCGACAGGGCTGAGCCCATCCTGCTCGGGCTTCTCGCTGCAGACTCAGCCGGCTGCCGTGGGGCTTGAATGAACGACCCAGGGTCTGTGACGCGCTGCCCTCCACGGGGCCGACAGCCGCACCCCAACAGCCCGCCACTCCCCTTGTTCTCTTCTTGAGCGGGAGGCCGGGGGGACTCTGCTGCTCTCTGGCTGGGATTCCTGGGTGGTAAACTCCGGCAGACTGCCCTCGTGGTCCTGAGTGCCGACAGCGGGCCATCCCAGCAGGAGTTACCTGACCCAGCTGACGGGCACCCACTGGGCATCCGTGCCCAGCCTCTCGAGCAGTGCCCGGAGCTGCAGGCAGGCGCCCTGCAGGTCCTCCCGCACCAGCACGGCGTCCACCAGGTGCCCGTAGTGCTGCTCCACGTAGGCGGCAGAGGCGGCCATGTCCTGCTGCTCCTCATCCTGCAGGGACAGCCGGGGTGAGGGGAGCGGCTGGGGTTTGTGTGTGTGCATGTGCAAGCGTGTGCATGTGTGTGCATACACATACAGTACCAGGGACTGAATGCACAGCCTTTCACTGGGCCACAAACCCAACCCTTTTTTACTTTGAGACGGTTTCAGTTTCCTGGGCTGGGCCTGAGCTTGTGATCCTCCTGCTTCAGCCTCCTGACATACAGGTGTGCACCACCATGCCCACACCTGACCCCAGACAACTGAAGCCACTGGCTGGGTGCACTCAAGGACACAGCAGGCTGCTGAGGGCTCAGGAGGAGCCCAGGTGGCACAGTGGCCAGGACTGGGACACCAGTCCCACTTTGGTCAGGGTCGCTTGACATGCCAGCCTAGGGTGTGGGCTTCCTGTGGGGCTGGCCGGCCTCTCCGTGTCCTGGGGAGCAGCCTCTCATCCTCCTTTATATTGGCTTTTCTCTTGTTTTGCTTTGTTTTTTTGGGTACCAGGGATCAAACTCAGGTCCTTGTGCTTGCGAGGCAGGCAGCAGAACCATTGAGCTAAATCCCCGGCCCTTGGCTTGGTTTTTTTGAGACAGGGGCTCACAATGTAGTCCAGCCTGGCCTCAAAATTACAGCGAGCCTCCTGCCTCAGCCTCCTGAGTGCTGGGATCACAGGTGTGTGCCACCACACCTGGCTTGGCGGCCATATATTCTTTTTTTTTTTTTTTTGGTACTGGGGATCGAACTCAGGACCTTGCGCTTTTAAGGCAGGCACAGCAGCACTGGGCTAAATTTCCGGCCCTAAACTCTTTTTTTTGGTACCGGGGATCGAACTTGGGTCCTTGCACTTGCGCAGCAGGTGGCGAAACCACTGAGCTAAATCCCCGGTCCCCTAAACTCTTTTTAAAAGTAAGCGTTTTTTTTTTTAAAGTAAGCTTTTTACCCTTGGTTATTAAATTCACCAATCCTAAAATATTTGTTTTTAAAAAACTACAGAAAAACAAATTGCCAAGCTGGTCCTAAAATTCACATGGAAATGCCAGGGACCCAGGAGGGCCAAGATGATCTTGAAAAAGAAGGAAAATGTGGAAGATCTCACTTCCTCACCTCAAAACCTCCTACAAAGCCACAGTAGCCGAGACAGCACGGTGTGAGCATGAGAACAGATCTGTGAAACACAGTGGAGAGCCCAGAACGGAGCCCTTCTTGCTCCAGTGATTTTAGAGGGCACCAAGACCGTCCGAGTCTTTTTAACAAGTGGTGCAGGGACCACTGGACGGCCAGGTGTGACAGAACCGCACGCCGGGCACCGAGCCGAGCCCACTGTGGCACTGGGCTGCTGGCCCCACAGCTGTGTCCCCAACCAGGAACCAGCATCGCTCTGCCCGGGGCTCTGGGGAGAACCCAGCCAAAGAGGTTTGGTGGAGGCCACTGCAGGGGACCAAGACAGCTGTAAGCAGTACGGGCCGTGACGTGTTAGCCCCACAGCGGCCTTCCATATAGCAGAGTCCAGCCAAAGCTACGTGCCGAGGTCAGAGTAACTCACACCCAAATTCCGTTCCCACAACTAAAACTTCAGCTAGAAGGACAGCGCTCTAATTACAATCATATATTTTGTCTATTCTGTTCCTAATTGAGAATGCTTTCTCTTGTCCTTTATGAGCCTTGCTTACATTAATTTCCATTAAAACCATGCGACTGCACATCCTCGCACATAGTTCTGCCCTTGCACGTACCTCAGCCTTACCCCAATTGATCACCAATAAAAGCCAGTGCCTGGGCCTGACCAGGGCCTCTGTTGGTTGCACCGGCATTGGCTGTCCTGGCCTCCACTTTCTCTCTCTTAGTTCTTTTACATTTTTTTCCCAGGCCTGTGTCGTACACTGAGCAGGAGACTGGAGCCTTCTGCAGAGGTTTCTGGTAGCATTTTGGAGGTTTCCAGGGGCCACAACACAGATCAGGCTAGACTGAGAGTCAGGGACCGGAGACCACTGTGGGAGCTGTGCCCTCAGCTCACAAGTGGATCATAATTTGCAGACAGCTCAGACTCGTCTGAAAGCAAGGACTGTGGCCTTGGCAATTGGTGTTGCAATTAAAAAACATTTGGGTTTGGGCCAGCGATTTAGCTCTGTGGTGCTCCATCTGCCTCGCAGGTGCAAGGTCCTGAATTCAGTCCCTGGTACAAAAAAAAAAAAAAAAAATTTGGGTTTGTCCTGCTCAGATCAAGGCTGCGGAGAATTACAGGCCTGGTGGCCCCTGCCTGTCATCCCAGCACTCTGTAGGAGGCTGAGGCAGGAGCATTGCAAGCTCAAGCCCAGGCTGAGCAACTCAGTGACTTAGGGAGACTGATCTCAAAATAAAAAAACAAAAAGGGGCTGGGCATGAAGCTCAGTGCAAAGGCCCTGGGCTTAATCTCCAGCACTGTAAAAAACAAAACAAAAGCAAGAAAAAAATCTAGTCTCTACAAATGTCAGCCCCTTGCTGGGGGCCAGGGCTGCTGCGTGCGCACGTGTGTGCACGTGTGTGTGTGGTGGGAGAGGCACGCCTGGCACGGCCGCTGTCCCCCCTCGAGCCTCTGGTGGCCTTGTGCCCTCTGCCACCCGCAGTGCCACGTGCACAGGTGCCTCCTGAGCCTGCAGAACGGAAGTGGCGGCCCTTGAACTCACCAGCGGGCCTGAGGTGTCCTCCCAGGCTGGGGACAGGGGTGGTGTCTTCCTCTTCTCCTGCACCACAGGCTTCACGAATATGACATAGGGCCTGAACTCCGAGGTCCTCAGCTGTTTCAGGGCCTGAGGAAGAAAGTTCAGAAGGACACAGTGGACACACCACTGCCACGCAGAGCTGGGAAAGCACCACCCCTGCTGCTATGGCAATGGATCACATGTTTCCTGCCCCTCACTTTTTTTTTGGTGCAGGGGATCAAACTAGCTCCTTGAGCTTTTTTTTTTTTGGTACCGGGGATCGAACTTGGATCCTCCCGCTTGCAAGGTGGGCGGCAGAATCACTGAGCTAAATCCCCGGCCCCTGCCCCTCACTTTTGAGGCTGGACTCAGCTGGGCCTGAAGGCTGCTCTTGGAGACAGCAAGGTCCTGTAGCCTCGGCTTGGGATCCCTGCTGTGGGTCACCTGCTGGACTTGCTTCATTGGCGGGTCCTGGTGCCAAGGGAGCTCAGCTCCCTGAGTGACCAGCTAGACACGCAGTACCTGTGTCTGCATGCCAGCAAAACCCTGCTGTCACACGGCCTCCTTCTGAGCCACAGGAAGCGGGTGTGAGGAGGGGGAAGGCCTGCAGGGACCCTCGGAGTGAGGCAGAATGCAGGCTTTTCCACCTCCAGCCCAGTCCTCCCTCCCTGCTTTGGACAGCTGTGTGGAGACTTCTGCACACGAGAAGCCACAACAGTGCTTTTCAAAACCCTCTGGGGCCGGGGATTTAGCTCAGTGGTTCCGCTGCCTGCTGTGCAAGTGTAAGGACCCGAGTTCCATCCCTGGTACCAAAAAAAAAAAAAACAACCCTCTGAAATCCAGACTGAATTCTGACTACAGCTGCCAGTCGGTCCACACCAGCAAGGCCCCCTCATAGGCAGAGTGCCTCTGTAACACAGAGCCTGTGCTCACGCGGATCAGAGGCCTCCCTCCTCCCATAAAGGAGAAGCCACCCCCCCACCCATCTCAAAGCCACCGCTCCCAGGCTAACAAGGCGGCTTTGAGGCTCCGCCTTTTCCCTTTGGAGCTGCTCTGCTCTCCAGGCGACCTGGGGTCCCCTCGCCTCTGCCTCGCGCATCCTGCCCCGTGGGCGCGTGGCTCCCGCCACTCTGGGGCACCGAACGCCCCCGGACCCGCCCTGCGCAGGGTCGCGGTCCAGAGGGTCACCAGTGCTGGCAGTCCTCACGGTGTCCGGGACACAGGTGCACGTCTGGGGTGCGGGGCTTTCTTCAGTTCCCAGACTCCAGGCTAAAATTCCCTTCAAGTAACATCCTGCGCCCTGCTCCGCGTCCAGCCCCGGGCTACACACCCCACTGACTCACGCCCACCACCCGGGACTCACTTCCGGCTCCACGTCCACCACACAGACTTTGTTCTTGGCCACGACGGCGCGCACGGCCCCCAGGCTGGTCCCGTACAGGTGGTCCTTGTACTCGCCGTGCTCCAGGAACCTGAAATGCCACCGGGGGAAGCAGCCAGTGCTCGGGCTTCCCCGAAGCAGAAGCAGCGGAAGGAAAGTGGCCCCCGACTCCCTCCCAGCAGTGCTCGGGGAGGGGAGAGTCAGGGACGCAGCTCGCCGGGCAGCACCTGTTGTGCTGGAGGTCGGCCTCGAAGGCCTGCCTGGAGACGAAGTGGTACTCCACGCCCTCCTTCTCCTGGCCCCGCCGCGGCCTGGTGGTGTCTTTTGGGGAGGAGAGGAGCTGCGTGAGGCTATTGAGGCACAGCGAGTGGGGCCCAGCGCCCTAGTCCCCACCCAGGGTCCTGAGCCCCGCACGGCGCCCTCCCTGCCAACCTCCAATTCCTACAACGCTGGCATCACAGGAGGCCTCCCACCGCTGCTTGGGAAGGCGCAGAGAAGCAGAAGCTCAGCACCGGGCCGGCAACCCGCAGCCACTGTCCTCAGGAATGTGGGAGTCCAGGCCCTCCCACCACCCACGCGCACCACGCAGGCCCTCACGCGGTACGGCGACACTGAAGTGCTGTGGGTTCTCGGCCACCACCTTCTGCTTCAGCTCCTGCAGCCGGGCGCCCAGGGACCCTGGAGGGCAGAGGGGGCTGGGTCCCTGCCACAGCCCCACTGCCGAGGAGGAACCCACCACCCCCGACCCCAACAGGCCTCCTACCAATCAGAACCGCCAGGCGTGGCCGCTCGCCGGGCTGGGGCTGGTACCGGGCCACCTCCTCATAGGTGGGCAGCTCCAGGGCCTCGCAGCCCGCGGGTGCCTTTCCGTCCTGCAGGCCGGCTGGCCTCTCACGGCAGCCCAGCCGGAAGCTCCTCCGAAGACCAGCTTGGGAGGGCAGAGGGATGGGGACTTGTCCCTACCTCCCGGGAAAGGCTGCTCCGCCCTCCAGCCCCCCCAACCGCTCGTGCAGAGGCCCTGTGGGCACCGCTCTGCTGGCACACGGCTGGCCTGGGTGAGGGGCACCAAGCCGCCGACAGCGGGATCCGGGTCAGATCCTGACGGGCACAGCGCTGTGTGGGGAGTGCAGTTGTGAGCATGCCAGGCTCCCAGGGTCAAGCTGGCCTCGCAGCCAGGACAGGGACCCGGGGACCAGCGCCTGGCCTGCGCTCTCCTCCACTCTGGGGCGCGGGGCAGGGGGCACCGCCAGTGCCGGGGAGCCAGGCGAGGGGCGTGCAGGCTCCCCACCCCAACCTTCCAGGCAGCCTGCGTCACCGCTAAGTTAAGGGACCCCGGCCACCCGCGGCCTCTGAAGAGGGTAAAACACACGAAGGGATGGGGCTCAGAGAGCAGCGCATGCCTCCGGGGGGTCGGCCCCCACTCCAATCGAGACGACAGTGACACGCTAGAGCCCAGCCCGAGCGCTGGGCCAGGACTGTGTGCCCAGTAACCGGGTGACGCGGGCATGAACCCCCAGTCCAGGACAGTGTGCCCCAGGACAGGCCAGGGAGATGAGAGTCGTGGCTCTGCTGCTCTCGGCTGCCTTCTGGGGCTCCCGTCCATCATTCTGCTGTGTCCTCCAACTCGGGAGGCCAAAGGGTATCAGGAGTGGCTGGCTACTCACCCACGTAGTGGCCTTTCAGGTGCCCGTCATGGTCGCAGGTCTCTGGGGACCAAACGGGCAGTGGTGAGGGCCAGACACCCCAGGCCGGGGGACCTTGGTGGCCGGCGCCCAGGGGCAGTGCCATGTCCCGGCCACCCTGACAGCTCCGAGTGGGGCCTGGCAGGGGTCCAGGAGCAGCAGGCACCCCCTTCTCATGGGATGACAGGGAGGACCCTGTCCCCTCCTGGCCAGTCCAGGAAGCCGGGTGGGCAGAGAGGCCTGAGCCCTGAACCCCATCCATCTGGCATGGCCCCTCGCCCGAGTGTCCCCAGACAAGGCTCCTCGCCTGTGAGCACGAGGACAGTACCAGGCCTACCTGAGTCACAAGGGTGATCGTCTGCAGTTTGCACAAGAGAGAGGGGACAGCGTTAGAGGGGGCCCGGGGCTCAGGGGCCGGGGGGCTCCGATGCCGGCTCCTCTGCCACACCAGCCTGCGCCGGGCTGCTACTAACCCCAGCCTGCTCTGCCCACGTCTCCCAGGCTCCTGGCTCCCTCCCGGGGCTGCAATCCTGCTGGGAAATGCAGGTGCCCAAGAGTGGGGCACAGCTGCAGGCCGGCAGGCTCCTGTCTGTATGGGGTGCTTGAAACCCCAGCCCTGCTCACCTAAGCTTAGGGGCCTCCAGCTCCCCATTTGGGGAGAGACACCTCACTCTGCCTACTTCTCGGGGTGGCTGTGCTTAAAGGTGGAGCTCTATGGTGAGCCCTGGCCTAGCAGGCTCTTCCTGGCGCCGTAAGAACACGAAGAACAAGTAAACAGAAGCGGCAGCTCAGGGTGCTCCCGACAGAGTAGACGGTCAGCTACACACAGGACTCGCCAGGAAACAGGGCTCCGAATGCACGCCCAGCATCACGGGGGCACAGGCACACTTACACTCACTTGCCCACTGCCTGCCAGGAGGCCCAGCCTGCCTCCACGCCCGCCACCTGCGCTCCCAAGCCTGGTGACCCCACCAACCCGACACAGGACGGCCCGGAGCCAGAAGTCACACACCATTTGGGGAAGTTAACCCCAACTTCCCTCCTTGTGCCTCCCAGGCCCCGCCAGCCTGGCCAGGACCCCTGGTGTCCCTGCCGACCCTGCCCGGCTACTCACAGGGTGGCTTCCTGAGGCTTGGGGGACTTGGCAGGGTGCCCGCGGCTCTCCGGTGGCTCAGTCGTCTGTGGGACACAAGAGGACAGAGCTGGGGCTGAGAAACAGCCAAAGGAGGCTTCTGGAAACCCAGCGGAACCAGGGCCTGGGTCCCCTGGTGGGCATGGAGCCGGACTCCCATGGCCTCCATGTGGGGTGGGGGCTGGGAAGTAGCAGACTTGGGGACCTCGGAGAGGCCGTGGGCAAGGGGGACCAGCGCGGCACCCCCTCGTGGACAGGCTTTCTCCACTGAGGCCGCGGGAGGGGCTAAGGGACGCCCCGGCTCGGGCTGCCCAGGTCCCCCACATCCTGGGTCAGCTAGGACCGGAGCAGGCCGCAGCCCCCGCACCTTGGCACCCCTGGAGCAGCTGGGGAACCAGGTCTCGGGTGCTGCAGGTCTGGGGAGCTCTTGCAGACTTCCAGCAGGTCCCCAGGTGCTATGGGGCCCCAGGGCCTGGGGACTACGCCAGGCGGCCACTGCAGGCACCACCACACCACCCCGGGATGTGTGGGTACCAGCACGGCCACCCAGCCTCGGCCCAATCCCCCTGGATCCAAGCCCACGGAGACCAGCTCCCCACAGGAAGAGGCGCAGGGGCGCCCCACGGGACCCTCAGCCCTCATGGACACCGCCCACCCCGAGCACCTCCTCCTTCCTGCCGGATGCCCAGGTGATGAGGGTTTGAGGGCTGTGACTTCACCACCACCCTCAGCCCCCCGGGCAGAAGCCATGGGTTCACCACGGCCCATGGTGCCCAGCACAAGGCCGCCCACCCATGGTAAATGCGCTGTCTGTGCTGGAGGGCGAAACTCCCAGTGAGATACTGTACGGCACACAAATCACACCACCGAGAACATGTGATTGGAAGGGAACGGCCAGTGTCAAAACGCCACAGCAAAAAAGGAAAAGAAATGCTGGGGGGGGGGGTGCATGCCTGCAGTCCCAGCACTCTGGGAGGCTGAAGCAGGAGGATCCCAAGTATGAGGCCAGCCAGAGCAATTTAATGACACAGCAAGACCCTGCCTCAAAATATGAAATAAAAAAAGGGCTGAAGATGTAGCTCAGCACAAAAGCCTGGCTTCACTACCCAGGACTGCAAAATTTAAAAAGAAGAAAAGGAAGAAAAAAAAGAAAAGTAGAAAAGACAAAAAAAGACCTCTTTTCTGCAAATGTTAATATAAACAGGGCAGGAAGCAAACAGCACCACGTGGGCAGCAACACAACCACCTCCTCCTCCAGCAGCACCCAGGACAGGACCGCTGCCCCATGCACCCACCCACCTCTCCTGGAACTGCTTGGAAGGGATGAGCCCGGCGCGCAGGTTGGTGTCGCCCACGCGCGTGGCCTGCCACCAGGTGGGGTCGTCCTGGCTCACCACCTCCAGGACCTGCCCTCGCTGGAACGGCAGCCCTGCCTCCTGGCAGGGGATGGCGCGGTCCTCACGGGGGTCGTAGTGGAACAGCGCCCGCATGAACACCTGCAGGAGGGCTCCGTGAGCCAAGCGTCCCGCCGAAGGGCAGGGCATAGCCATTCGCAGGGCACAGGCGGCCGAGCACAGCCCGGCCCGAGGCTCGCTCTGCCCCGCCCTGCCAGTTTCCTCCTGGTTGCTTCTTTCTCCCTTTCTCCCTGTTCTTCATTTCATTCCTTTTTCAGTACCGACGAGTGAACCCGGGTCCTCGGTGAGCTCCATCCCAGCCCTTTCTATTCGGAGACAGGGTCTCCTGTAGGTCACTAAGTTGCTCAGGCTGGGCTCGAACCTTCGATCCTCCTGCCTCAGCCTCCAGAGTGCTGGGGTCACAGGCGTGCACTGCGCTCACCTTTGCTTACTGCTCTTCAGTCATCTGGGACACCCCAGGCTGGAAATCCCTCAAGAACTGGGCACTAACAGATGGGCAGCGACTGCCTTTCTCTTCCAACCTGGGCGCTCCCGCCCACCTGCTTGCGTCTCCTACAGTCTCCCTGTCTGCACGGTGTAGCAGCCAGGCCAGGGGCCAAGGGGAGCAGCACCGCCTCCACTGCCCATGCCAGGTGAGACAGCAGCATCTGTCAGCAGTAACTCACTGCAGTGTGGTGAGAACACAGGTCCACGGGACCCCACTGCCGGCTCCCCGCCGCGTGGCTGGGGTCAGCCCCCACCTCCTACCAGCCAGTCCGCCTCCTTGGGCACTGTGTGGCCATGACCTGCACCTCCTCCCAGGAGCCCAGCCCGGAGCAGCGGCCGTGGGCACAGCCCTGCCTTGCGTGCCGGGTCTCTGTGACTCAGCAGCCTGGGTTTATCGCGCACATCTGGGGTTCCAGGCCATCAGGGCCCCACAATCTCAGGGGCAAATAGAGCAAATCATCAGCCCAGCTGTACCCGAGACAGAGTCAAACCCCTTCACCTGCCAGCTGGAGAGGGAAGAGCATCCTGCTGCGTGTGGTGGGGACAGAAGCCCTCACCGGGCACAGCTGTCACAGCCCTGGGGACCTGGGGACTCTGACCCCAACAGCTGCGAGACAGCACCTGGGCCAGGAAGGGGCACCCAGCAGAGGGGCTGGGGACAGGCTTCCTGCGTGTCCTCCAGGGACACCAAGCCGGAGCCCTCAAAGCAACACACGGGGACCACAGCCACTTGTCACAGGAGGTCACCTTCCATCCAGCAAGAGCCAGTGCTACACAAGTAAGAAGCAGTCATACTGAGCAAGACACAGAGGAGGCCGAGGCAGGAGGGTGGCAAGTCTGGGGGCAGCCTGGACAACCTTTTGAGGGGCTGGGGTGGAGCTCAGTGGTACAATGGCCTTAAGTTTGATTATCAGAAACACACAAAAAAAAAGATGGAGGAGAAGGAGAAAAGAAGAAGAAAAAGAGGAAAAGAAACAGCAATGAGGCCACATGAGGTTATTTCTGCCAGGGATGGTGGAAAACAGCAGTATTCCTAGCTACTCAGGAGGCTGAGGCAGGAGGATCACAAGTTCAAGTCCAACCTGGGCAATTTAGAACAACTCTGTCTCGAAACCAAATAGAAACAGAAGAGTGGCTCGGTGGTAGAGTGCTTGCCCAGCATGTGCAAGGCCTGGGTTCGATCCTAGTGCTGCAAACAAGAAGCAAGCTTCGTCCCTTGCTGTAAAACACTGTGGGCCAAGACCCCGCCCCCTAGCAGTCCTCGCTGGCCACAGACGCTGCCGACCTCTGTCCTGCCAGGCGCCACCTGTCCCTCCCTTCCCCAAACCAGAGGCAGGGCCGGGCCCACGCTCGCTTCCCTGCCCTTCTCTGCCTCTGCCTCCGCCCAGGGAGCCACTGGCCACGGGCTCCCACATCTGCCACCAAGAGGCAGCGGGGCCTCCTCCTCCTATACGCGGCCCCATCCTCTGCAAGCAGGCGCCCCAAGCCCTGCTTGCACCGCGCTGTGATGCGGGGCTCACCCCACTCCGCACCCACCTTGCTTTCCTTGAAGCGGTCCCCCTCCTGGGTGGCCGGGATGATCTTGAGGGTGATGGAGCCCTGCGCCTGGGCCTGGTGGGGAGAAGCGCCCGGCACCCGACCCGTCAGTCGCTGGGCACCCGGCAGCCGGCCCAGGCAGACGCTCCCCCCCGCGGGCCGCAGCACAGCGCACCAGGATCTGGCTGATCTCGTCGGGCCGCTTGTGCAGGACGGCAACGCCGTTCACCTCTCGCAGCTCGTCCCCCACGTGGACCAGGCCTGGGGACACGGGCGGTGTCAGCACAGGAGCCACAGAGACCCACGCGGCAGGGACTGTCGGGGCTCCTCCCTGCCCAGTGCAGACTAGCACAGGCCCAGCTGGACCCGGGGACAAAGCCGCCCGTTCTTGGACGCAAGCAAGGGCTGGAAAGCTGCGCTCCTCTGCCTGCCTCTGCCTCCTTAGAAATGGCTGAGCAGCTGGGTGCAGTGCTGCATGCCGGTGACCTTTACTGAGAGGCTGAGGCAGGAAGACGCCAACTCCGAGTCCCACCTAAGCAACTCAGCAAGACCCTGTCCCAAAATAAAAAGGGCCGGGGATGGACTCTGTGCGAAGACACCGGGTCCAACCCTCAGCACTGCAAAGAAAAAGAAAAAGCCTCAGCTCCTCCCTTCCCAGGGCAGCGACCCGCTCCGGGAGCAGCCGTCCCATGCAGGGACCTCGGGCCGACAGTGACGTGCTCAGAGCAGCGGGCATGGCCACCTATTGGCTCTTTTCACTTTGGAGACGGAGTCTTGTCATGCTACCCAGGCCAATCTCACAACCGGGCTCAGTGATCCTCCCGCCTCAGCCTCCCCGGTACGGGGACTAGAGCGTGCACACTGCGGAGCATCCTGCATATCCAGACTGCCTGCTGCTCCTGGTGGGCACTGGGCCACTGCAGTGCCAGGAGGGCTCGGGGGGGCAGCTCCTGAATCAGTCGAACCGAGTGTCGCCAGGCACTCGAGGGCACCTGGTGGGCTCAGGTCTAGGGTGCCGCTCAGCCCAGACCGCTCAGCAGCCTTGCCCTGCAGCTAGGGGCCTGGGTGCCCGGGCAGGCACAGCCCTGTCCCAGGGCCCCTCGTGTACCTGGGCTGTCGGCTTTCCGGAGTGACTGACATGGGGCTGGGCAAGGAGACGGAGCCCCAGCCCAGGCCGTGGGGCACACTGAGGGACAGCACTCACCGCTGCGGTCGGCCGCACCCCCTCGCATGATCCTGGCCACCACGACAGCGCCTGTGTGCTCGTCCCGCCGGATGGTGGCTCCCTGCACAGAAGAATGGGGTGCTGGGCAGGCGGCTGGGCCCTCCACCCCAGCCTCCCGGCCAGATGGTGAATTCGGGGGATGGAGGAGAACAGCTAGGACCCAGCTCAGTGATGCTGAGGTCTCAGAGGAGGGCAGAGCTCAGCAGGCTCCAGGGCGCCAACCAGAAGGCGAAGCTCCCCGTGAGCCGGGCGGCCTGGCCGGGCGCCCACAGGCGTTTACAAGCGAGGACAACACGTGCCTCAGATGCTCCCAGCTGCACCATGCGGCGTTCCCAGGCCTTCCGCTTCGGCCCCACAGGGCCATCTGTGCCCCCACCAGCACCCAGGGAAGGGACTGGGCCCAGGAAGCATGGCACAGTGACAGTCGGGAGGGTCAGTGCTCCGGGGCCCAGGGGAAAGCGGCATCCTGCACACAGGCAAGGGGCCAAGATGGCAGCCGCACCAGGAAGCCGCTGTCGCTCCCGCCAAGGGCCTCAGGGGCAGGGCAGCATTCCGGGAGGGGACAGGCGGGCCCCACATACCAGGGGCTCCTTGCTCTTCACCAGACGCACGATCTTCACCGACTCCTCCTCAAAGTCCTCGTCAATGTTGTCAGGCAGAGGGGGCAGCACAGGGTCGAAACTCTTCTGGGCCACTGTATCATGCACCATGAGCATGGCCTGGAGGGAGGCGGGAGGCATGGGTCAGGCCGGGGACAGCAGCACGGAGCCCCAGCCCCCCAGAAGCTGTGGGCCTCGGGTTGACCGGAGGGACACAAGCGCCTACCCTGAGGTGGGGCGTGGCCAGCAGCTGCAGCAGCTCCCTCTCGTCACTGTGCGCCTGCGCCGAGGCAGCCTGCAGCTCCTCCACCACCTGTGAGGGAGGCACAGGGGTATCCTCAGGATTTCCAGGGGCAAATTGGACCCCTAGCCAGTCCCGGAGGCACACCAGGGAGCCCCGATCCCACAGCAAACCCCCAAAAGAATGGAATGCAGGATGCAGGACACAGCTGAGAACCCTGAGCCCAAGGTCACCGAGCTCAGGTAGCAGAGCCAGGACTGAACCTAGCCCTACCTGGGCCATGCTCTGTGCTACGGTACAGCTGAGGACACTGTGGCACAGCAAGGCGGGTGCTGTGAAAGTCACAGAGCGGGTGGCAAAGGCAGCCCCAAGCCTGGGGTCTGCACCCAGCCGCGTCCGGCCCTGGGTGGGTGAGCTGTTGGGAGCTGAGCTCAGTCCTGGTTGGGGACAGCTCTTCCCCAGTTGTGCAACACAGAGGACCAAGGCTACAGGAAATTGAGAAGCCCTCCCAGGCAGGAGGACGGCGAGTTCAAGCCCTGCCTAAGCAGCTCAGCAAGACCCTGTCCCCACCCCCCAAAAGGGCTGGGAATGTAGCTCAATGAGGAGGCCCTGGGGTCATTCAGTCCCCAGAACCCTGGCCAGTGAGCAGGGACACACAGCAAACCCCTGAGTCCTGGACCTCATGGACATGTGGTTCCAGCCCTCAGGACAGCTGGGGAAGTGCCCACCACACGCAAAGCTCCCATCACCCAGCCAGCAGGCAGGTGGCCACAGAGCACACTGTAAGGGGGTGTTACTTGTCCCCAGTTCCCCCGCCAAGCCTCCTGAGGGCTGCCCTGGCGATCAGGAGGCCAGCAAGGAGGAGGAAGCAAGGAGAGGCCTCAACTCCCTAGGCCCCCCAACCCGACCACCCTGGCAAAGTGATGCCAACGGGGCAGGAAGGAGTAGCACTGGCAGGCAGCCAGCTGCCACCACCGCCAGGGAAACCTGGACTCACATCCTCAGCCAGGGCCACGGCGCTGTGTAGGACTGGGCTCGGGCTCTGCTGCTCATAACAGCGCAGCATCTCATGAATCTGCAGAGACAGCCAGTTTTCGCTGACCTGGACGCCCCACAGCCCTGGTGGCCGCAGGGACCCCACAGGTCGTGGGCTGGCCCAGATACCCCCGAGGGCCGAGACGGGGGACTCTCCCGGCACCTTCATCAGGTAGCTGAGGCTCCGCTCGCTGAACACGTCTCTCAGGAAGCCCACCTCCTCCCTGTGGCTCGAGTCTGGGCTCAGCTGGGAGGTAAGCAGCGCCAGGGTCTCGTGTAGGCCTGAGGCGGGCGCAGGAAGTCAGGGCACGTGCAGGGGACCTGCCCTGGAGACCCAAGCCTCCCTCGTCCCCAGGGCATGCAGGCAAGACCACTTTGGAGGCCTGGTGGGCAGCACCCGGGGCAGGCCGGGCACTCACCCGAGTCCTCGGACAGCACGGGCATGCCTGCGCCTGCCAGTCCCGGGAGCTCCCTGCCGGGGAGTGGGAGTGGTGACTTCACTCAGGAGGCAGCGACATCCTGGGCGCTCCAGCGGGGACGGGAACAAAAACTGCTCACTCCCTCCACAGAGGAAGGAGAAAAAACAGACTCGCTTTCCCCTAGGTGACCAGACTTCCTCCCTCTGCTCAGACCTGGAGGTGGACGTGGGGGAAGCCACTGCCCCATGGAGGGACACTGGCAGTGCAGGTGCTACCTGGGGGCCACGGTCCATGCCCAGGTCCGGCCAGGCCAAGCTGCCCTGACCAGGGCGGCATCTCCGGCCGCCGCCACGCTCTCAGGGCCGCAGCGGCCCTCCACCCGCGCCCCAGCCGAGGGCGCTGGACCCGGAGAGGCACAGCCACGCTCCCGCGGGAGAGCCTGGCCCGGGGCTCGAGGTACGTGAACCTGGGGAGCAGGAGTCCTGGCTGGCTCCTCTCCGCGCACGGAGCCGCGAAGCCCGGCGCAGGATGGGCGCCCACACGCGGAGCCCCCGCCCCGCGCCCCTCCTCTGCCCGAGAGCCTGGGATCCGGCCGAGCCCCGGTCTCGGCGGGGGCCGGGCCGGCGGAATCTCGGAGTCGGGACTCGGCCCACCCTGAGCCGCGTGCGCTCCCTCCTGTGCGCCGCTCCCTACCTCGTCTCGCCGGGAGCTCAGCCCAGGGACCCGGAGCCACACGCTAGCACCAGGCCTCGCCCGCAACCGCTGCTCCGCCTGCACCGCCCCTCCCCGGAGCGGCCGCGGGGGCGGAGACAGGGGCGGGCACAAGCCGGGAGGGGCTGACCAGAAGGGGCGGGGAGTGGGGCGGAAGGGGACGGATCGCACATCATTGGGGCGGGGCCCGGAGCGGAAGGGGGCGAGGAGCAGGCTTGTATTGGACTGTAGGTCGTGGGGGCGGGGAACGGGGCGGAAGGGGGCGGGGCGCGGACCCGTATTGGACTGCAGGCCGTGGGGCGGGGCACAGGGTGGAACGAAGGCTGGGAGGAGGCGGGACTCGGGAGGAGCGCAGTGGGGGCAGGAGGGGGCGGAGCTCGACCCGGGAGCCGAGCGCAGGCCTGGGCGGGGCAGGATTTGGTGGGGCGTGGGCTGAGGAGGCGGGGAGAGGTAGGGAGTGGGCGGGGAGTGGGCAGAATGGGAGGGACGTGAGTGGGATGGGCGGGCCGCGGGTCTGGGTCCCACTCCGCTCCCCACCCGCCGAGCCCGCGGCCTCCTGCGCACACGCGCCCGCGAGTGGAGGGGTGCACACCGGCCCCGCGGGAATCCTCTGCCAGCGTGGATTGAGCGCGCTGTGCCTACAGGGGCTGCAGAGACCGCCGCAGCGGAGACGCGGGCTGCGCAACTACGCATCGGGGCTCGGGGAGGAGGACGCACGAGCCCGGCGCGCGCTTGGGGGCGTGGCGGGGTCGCAGGCGCCCACGGGTGCGCGAGAGGCACGGGGCGCGGGGCCGGTCCCCGAGGGCGGCGGAGGGCCCCCCACCTGTCCAGCGCTCACGTGGCCCTGCCGCCCTCCGCACACCCGGGCAGGGCGACGGACCCCACGACGCGGCACACCTGGCTGCTGAGCTTGGCAAACATTGCCAGCCACGCGATCGAGTTTTAGTATATGTGCCGCCGAAGCAAGCACAACGCGATCGAGTTTTGACAAGGCTCCAGCAAATGGTGCTGGCACAACCACAGCAGATTCTGTGCGTGTGCGTGTGGTGCGTGTAAAAGCTCAATCCCCTCCTCGCACCGCGTACAGAACACAGAAGAGGGAACACAAACTCATGCACGTTGGTAAAACGACTAGAAGGAAACAATGAATTTTTCAGTTTTGCAGTAGGCACAGATTTCTTAAAATACAAAAACACATGGATGCTAGGGCTGGGGATTTAGCTCAGTGGTTTCGCCGCCTGCTGTGCAAGCGCAAGGACCGGAGTTCGATTCCCAGGCACCAAAAAAAAAAAAAAAAGACTCTAAAAACTGATAAATGGACTTCAAAATTAACACTTGTACTCATCTGGGGGAAAAAAAAAGGATGAAGAAAATAGATGGTAAGGGGAAGAAACAGTCCCACTGTAAATACTAAGGACTTGTACCCTGCAGCTCAATAATAAAAGGTCAAACACCCAAATCCAAACATCGGCAAAAGAAACGGGTATGTATTTCCCAAAAGAAGATAAACGCCACTAGGCATAAACAAAACGCTCATCCAATATCATCTGTCATGAGGAAAAGTAAATTAAAACCTTAGTTCCTACTGCCATACAAAATAGCAGGGCTGGGTGTTCTCTGAATAATAAGAGATTTATTCCTTAGAGCCTGAGGCTGGGAAGTCCACGCGTCCGCGCGAGATGGACAGGAGCCAGGGCCTCCTTCGGCGGCTGTGTGAGGCAGGAGTCCTGTCGGGGGCGCCCAAAGCGGATGGTGGGACATTGAAGAGCACCGGTGTTTCCTCATCAGTGAAGAGAAAACAGCCTCTTCAGACGGGAGCGACCGCACGAATGTCAGGGCGTACTAGGCTGAGCGCAAGAGGGCGCTGCCGCCGGGGCCCGCCGTGTGGTCCTGCGGCGCTTGAGCGCCCGAGCTCCGGCTGTCGTCAGAGGCCTGGCTTTGGCTGGCCCAGAGAGGTCCGCAACAGCAGCAGCGGCAGCACCAGCATCGCTATTATACAAAGTACCAAACTTTGCAAGTGCAAGGTCCTGAGTTCAATCCCCGGTACCGGAAACAAAAAGTTCTAAAATTAGCCCAGAAGAGAGGGAAAATCTGAGCAGGCCCATTTGAACAGAGTACAGCTGTCAAAGACCTGTCGCGGAAAAGAGCCCCAGACCTTGGGAGTCCGACAGGAGAAACCTCCACACACATAAAGAACACTTATTCTGGCTCTACTAGAGCATTCAAATAAAAAGAAGCTCCAAATTCTTCCCATGCTACATTTAAAAAGTTGAAAGTTGGGGGTGGGGATTTAGCTCAGTGGTTCTGCCGCCTGCCTCGCAAGCGCAAGGACCAGAGTTTGATCCCCGGTATGAAAAAAAGTTGAAAGTTGATAATAAAACCTGTTTTAAAAAAGAGGAAAAGTGGGGGCTGGGATTTAGCTCAGTGGTTCCACCACCTGCCTCACAAGAAGAAGGGCCCGAGTTCTGATCCCTGGTACCAAAAAAAAAGAGCAAAAAATCTTAGTTTCATTTATAAATATTGATATAAAAATCCTAAAAACTTTTATTAGCTAGCAATTTCACCAGGATACTAAGAGAATAATAATATATCATGATAAGGTAGAATGTATTCTTTTTTTTTTTGGTACCAAGGATCGAACTCGGCACCTTGAGCTTTCGAGCCAGGGGTGCGGAACCACTGAGCATTAAATCCCCGGCCAGGTAGAGTGCATTCTAAAATGGTTTAATGTTTGAAAATTATATGGTGTACTCCAAATAAAGCAATTTGTTAATAGGATAAAAGTAGTACTTTTATATTATTATATCCATAGATGCTATAAGGCACCCATACATGATTTTCTAAAACATGTGTCAAAAAGGAATTTGAACAACAGTTAATCATACAGTTGCCTTATGAAACAGCAACTTCACTCCTAGGTATCTGCCCAGGAGAAATTAGAAATATGTCCCCATAAAAACATGTCCGTGAGTGGAGGCCTTTGCCCGCGTGGATTGAGCACATCATGAAATCAGCTGGTCACAAAACACCACACATTGCCTGATACCATTTATATGAACAAACCCAGAACAGGCAACTCTAGAGACAGAAAAGTAGATGAGCCATGGCTGAGGCCAGGCAATGCTCCTGGGTGTCTCCATGATGATGCATCTTCAAGATGAGGAAAATGGGGCCAGGGATTTAGCTCAGTGGTTTCACCGCCTGCTGCACAAGTGCAAGGACCAGAGTTCGATCCCCGGTACCAAAAATAAACAAAAAAAAAATGAGGAAAATGTCCTAAAATGTGATCATGATGATGGTTGTAAAACTACAAATATATATATATTTTTGAATATATTTTAAAAATTGAGATCCACCCTGTATATGAATGGATTTTATGGTATGTAAATTATCTCTCAATAAAGTTGTCAAAAATAAATGGTTTAAAGCTTCCAAATAAAAGGCAGAGATTGTCAAACAGGTAAAAGAGCAAGACTTGCCTGTTTGCTTTCTAGAAGAAACTCACCTGCTCAACACGACCCACCCTGGGTTCCATCTGGCACTGAAAAAGAAAAAAGATTAAATACTAAGTTAAGCAAGGAAAGCTTAGTAGGAAAAGTGTGGAGTCATTCTAAAATTCCCATTAAAATATAAAAACAATGTCCAGAGGGAATTTCCTCAATCCTTCTACTTATCAGGAAAAATAAACATTGGTGAAAAGCAGCAAAAATCCAAAAAAGAGCCAGGACCAAGGCAGCTGGGTTCTAAGTTCCCTGGCCCTGTCAAGTACACGGTGCTCCTGATGGGAAAGCAGTCTGGGAGGCTTTGCACACGGTGGGGACGGGTGGAGTGGACAGAGCACCGGGTGACAGCGCCTGTTCCTGCGGAAGGCAACATGAGAAATGGGAGGAGAGGAATTCCTAAAAAAGTCTGGGGACAGCTATAACTAGCTATTCTTTATGGAAAAGGGGGAAAGAAGGAAAGGAGAAGGAAAAAGTCGGATCCCTACCTCACTCCTCACACAAAATATTTTTCCAGATTTCACTGTATAATCTTGCAGTGAAGGAAGACTTTCCAAGCAAAACCCAAACACAGATGTATAAAGAAAAAGGACATGTGACTAAATAAAATATAAATTATAAAATGTAAACTTTCATTTTTGCAATGTGATATAATATTGTACATGGAATGTGATAGCTAAATTCCTTAACTTAAAACATTTCATACAAGTCAATAAGAAAACATAAAAATTAGAAAAATAGTCCGGGCCGGGGATTTAGCTCAGTCTGTGCAAGCACAAGGTCCCGAGTTCGATCACCAGTGCCAAAAACCAAAAGAAGATAAACAGTCAAAGTCTGTTACCAAAAAAAATGCATACAGCTGATATATCAAAACATTCAAAATCTTGCAAAATAGAAAGCGATGTCCCTGTTGCCTGTTAAGACGAAAATGCTCACGTTTGCTGACATCTGGTGCTGTGGAGGGTGTGAGACACGGGCACTGGACGGGTGGGGATCACTGGAGGATGGCGTGGCAGGGTCTGCTCGGCTAGCCCATGTCCTCGTGCTTTGGCCCAGCAGACAGGAAGCAGGCGGGGCACAGGTGGCGGGACAGCAGCAGGTGGGTGCACGAGGGCAGAGGCCACACGGGGCAGTCGTCTGAGGGGCTGAGGACCCCAGCGCCCCAGGCACCAGGGCAGAGGCTTTGAGCGGGACCAGGTGCTGGCCTCGGGCGCAGGGTGCAAGGCCTGGCACCCCCCAGGCACACGAGGGAAGGTCCACACCCCCTCACACCCAGGGAGGAGCGAGACGCACTGCCACCTTAAAATTTCCCTCTTTCCAATTTGTCTTATTGCTCGTGGGTATCGTGAACCCATTTTCTTTCCTTTTTTATAGTTTGGTACAGTGACATAGAACCGAGCCCCAGAAAGTGTGTAAACAGAGCAACTCACAAGGGAGTCCTCCCCATCCCCTGCAGAGCCTGCGGGCACAGCACCCTCCCGAGGGCCTGTCTCCTCCATCCCACCATCTGCGCCCACTGTGCAGGGTTCATCAGGGCCGTTTCCGAGTGGAGTTCAGACCTCACCTACCAGAGCCATCACTGTGCCGACTTCCTCCTCCACGCTGTCCGTGGCGTGCGCTGCTGGCATTTTCTGCCACCCTGTGGGTCTGTCCAGTCGCTCTTTCCCTGGCATGTTGGTTTGTTTGTCTTTATTTTTAATTTTAATTTTTATTTTTTTGGTACCAGGGATCGAACTCGGGACCTTGCACTTGCGAGGCAGGCGCCGGAACCACTGAGCTAAATCCCCGGCCCTGTTTTTATTTTTATTTGACACACGATCCCACAATGTAGTCCAGGCCAGCCTTGAACTCACTGAGTAGCCCAGGCTGGCCTCCAACGCACGACAAACCTCCTGCCTCAGCCTCCCTGGTACTGGGATTGCAGGCGTGCACCACCACGCCTGGCCCCACAGTCTTTTGGTGAACAGTTTGTAATGTCAACACTTTCCCGCTTCAGTTCTCTTTTTCTCTCACTCTCTCTTCTACACCCTGTTCTTTTTGTCTCTGTCACTCGAAGACCTCAGCCTGGTTCCTTCCCAAACACCTTGCGGTTTCTTCTTAGCTTTTAGCTGTGTCTAATCTGCTTGAAATCTGCCCCTGAATTCTTAACTTCAGCCACTGGATTTTTTCGATTATTTTTCAAATCTGTTTTCCTTTTATACTTTCAGTCCAGGCTGCACTTGTACTCCCTCGAGGCCCTGAGGAACAGCAGGAACAGCCATGCTGCGTCCCTTGCTGCTGCTGCAGAACAGGGCCCAGTCTGGTTCAGCTGCCCATCACCACCCAGTCCTCCTGCGGTTACTTCCTAAGTCGGGAGCATTTGAGACAGTCCACTCGAAACCGCCGGGGGCTTTGCCGCTGCCCGACCCCCAGAAGGCTTCCTACCAGTGTCTCTGAGGTCCCTGAAGGTGGGACAGGGATGGCTGTACCAGGCTGGAGCCCAGAGCCGAGCGTGAAGGACACTGAGGGACAGGAGTCGGCTGACAGACAGCCCGCAGCAGCCTGGTCTGTTGCAAGTCACTCATTTCCCACAGCACAGCCCTCGGGTCCCAGCCCAGTGTGATGAAAACAGCCGGCTCCCGCTCAACCCTGTCCCTGCAGCCCAGCCTTGGGTCCCAAGCACAGCCTGGGCCCAGAGCTGCGCTTCTGTGCTCTCCTGGCTCCTGGCTCCGACCTGCCTGCTCCTGTGAGCTGTCACTGCTTGCCTTTAAATATACCTTACATTTCAGAACAATTCCCGATGTACAGAAAGATTGCCAAGAGCATCGGCAGAGCTCCCGAGAGCCTCCCTGTCACCAGCGCGCCCCCGTAAGCATTTTGCGGTCCCTACCGCCGAGCTGTGGACACTGCCTGGTGCACAGCCCCTACATCGGGGCCTCCTCAGGAGCGCGTGGCTTCCCACTGACCCCTTTCTCTGCCTGGGCCGCAATCCAAGACGCCACCTTGTGTTGAGATTTTTCTGAAAACCCAGTTGTCCATGCCTGTGTCCACAGGAAGTGGGCTCCAGGCCCCCAGACACCACGCAGTCCCCGCTATAAATTAGCATCGCATCGGCACTGGGCTGCACATCCTCCCTGATACCATGGGAATGTCGTGAAACTAGATACGACACCGTGTTGTTCAGGGAATAATGACAAGAAATAAGTCAGCGTGTGTTTAGGAGCAACACTGCCCGTGGCCTTACTCTGTGGCACAGGAACAAAACGGGAGGGGAAGATGAGCACCAGAGCTACGAGACCTGGGGGCCTGGGCTGCCGGGCTCCAGAGGCCCGCATGCCGCTTCAGTCTCCTGGGCTCCGGGAGGCTGGAGCTCTCCTCCCACTTCCGTCTTGTGCAGTGAACCTGCGGCACCAGCCGGGCTGCGTCTCCCTCCAGCCCAGAGTTTGGGGCCTGATCACCAGCTCCGCTGTCGCTGCTGGGCACTGTCGTCCTGAGAGGCAAAGCCTGTCACCCTGAAGCCCAAAAGGACTTCAGATCCACCTCAGCAGGAAGTGGGAACTCGGTTGTGCCTGGTTCGGGCTGGAGAGGATGGGGGGAGCAGGCCAGACGGGGCAGCAAGGACGGGGCATCCGGGGCTCAGACCTGCTGGCTGTCCAGGGTGGCCTTCTTCTTGGTGGCCACCTTCTGGTTCGACCTTCCCTAGTTTGATGGTGACCGTGGAGCTGACAGGGCCGAGTAACAGAGCCACTCGGCTGCAGTTCCAGACCAACAGAAGCGGCTTGGCCCAGGCCAGGCCAAATCCTGGAGGAGCTGAGCCAGGTGACCCTGACCCCAGCAGCTCGGACCTCCCCCCACCTGCATCCCCTGTGGCCTGGCCGAGCCCCTCAGGCATCCAGAGCATTCCAAGTGGGCGCTGACAGCCCGGACCACCTCCCCGCTGGCCAGCACGACGCAGTGTCCTCTCTCCAGCCCTAAACCCACAGGGGCTCTTGTGGGCCCTACCAGCCCCAGGGTGTGGCCTGAGCGTGGAGGGCCACAGCCCACCCAGCCAGGAGCAGGCTCAGAGCTGGGCGTGTGTGTGGGCGCCAGGCCAGACCCCTCCCCACACAGGCCAGCCCTGAGGATGCCTTGCTGTCCTGGGGTGACATCGCCTCCTCACACACTTCATTTCCTCTGGTGCCCGGGATGTCTGGGGAGAAACATAACAGGAGAACAATTTAGTATAACTAACATGCTCCAAAATGTCCGCAGTCAGGTCCGACGACACTAGGACACCTACCGAAGTGTCAGATGCTGCCCTGCTCTGAATGCTCTTCTACTTTTGGAAAAGTAGAAGCTGGGGGTGGTGCTGCACAGCTGTAATTCCAGCACTAGGAGGCTGAGGCAGGAGGATCACATGAGTTCAAGGCCAGCCTGAACGGTGGGCAGATGGGCGAGGTGAGGGGACTAGGGCTGGGGGGTTCCTGGGGTGTGTGGCCCTTGGGCCGTAGCCAGGGGGTCCAGCGAGATCCTGTCTCAAAAATTTTAAAAGTTAAAAGAAAGAAAATTACTTATTATTCTGTGTAAGGACTAAACAGCAGAAACACCCCATGAGACGCTAGACTAAGCACTGTTTTAATTTGTTTTTAACTGGGAAACACGTTAGCTTTGTAGTTTGCACACACAAGGGAGGCTCCGGGCAGAGGTCATGTGACAGGGGCCTGCGACTCCAGGTCCCTGCCCCTGCAGTGACAGACAGGGTGGCTGCTGAGCACGGTGAAGCCGAAAGGTCCAGGCGAAGAGGCCACAGGCTCCGTCCCTCTCGGGTCGGGTCATCGCCTTGACAACGGGCCGGGAGGAGATTGGGGAGTGGCTGCTCTCTCCGCTCCTTCTCTCTCTCTTTCTCTTTCTCTCTCAATTCTGTCTTTTTTCTTTTTCTTTTTTTTTTTTTTTTTTTTTTTTTTTTTTTTTTTTTTTTTTTTTTTTTTTTTTTTTTTTTTTTTTTTTTTTTTTTTTGGTAACGGGGATCGAACTCGGGTCCTTAGCTTGCAAGGCAGGCGGTGGAACCACTGAGCTAAATCCCCGGCCCTCTGTTTTATAAATCTTTTGCTTACAACCTGTATGCACCTTGCAATAAAAAACCGAAACCGAGAAAGAGCCCTTGGGGGCCGTGGGTCCGGGCCTCCTGGGGCGTCGCCAGCTCCTCCCAAGCGCCCCGCCCCGTGGCCGAGAGCGCACGCGCCCCGGGACCACGCGCTGGGGGGACCCCAAGCTCTGGGCCAGGCCCCCGGCAATCAGGTGGGGCTCGGGCCGCGGTCACGGCCCTGACCCCTGCAAGGGAAATGCTCGCTTCTGAAGTCCGCTCGGGAGCGACGCGCTACGGTGTCCCCAGGTGTGCCACTGCCAAAGAGGCGTCGAGGGGCGCCGGACCCCGAGCTGTCGCCCCCTCCCCCACGAGGTCCTGGGGCTGGGAGGAGTGGGCGGAACGGGGACCGCCAGCCACGCCCACCCGCCCCGGCCCCGCCCCCAGGGCCTCACCCCGTGGGCCCGGGACCGCGCCCGCCCAGACCACGCCCACGGCAACACCACTCAGCCGACCCCGCCCCCGGGACCCCGGACGCCGGGGCCCGCCGACCTCGCCCGTCGCCCGCTGCCGCCATGCGCGCCCTGGCGCTGCTGTGGGGCTGTCTGGCGCTCCGGGGTGAGCAGGGTCGGGGTCGGGTACCGGGGAGCAGGCCGGCCGGCCGCCCTGGGTGCAAGGGGGATCCCTTCTGTCTGCGGGCCGCGTCCGCCCCAGGCCCCCGACTGCGGCTCCTGCACCTCCGCGGCCCTGCCCGCCGGTGACACGCGTGGACCTCGCTGGGTCTGCACGGCGCGCTCCCAAATCAGGGTGCACGTGGTGCCCGGTGGCAGGCGCCCCTCCGGGTGCAGCGCGGGCGCAGACCCCAGCGGCCTGAACCTGCCCTGTGCCCGTAGGGAGCAGCCTGCCCTGTCCGTGCCGCCGTGGGGAGACCGCGGGTGTCTGGGGCTCAGGGGAGAAGCCTTCCTTCCCCCGGCCTTGACCCTGGGCCTCCGCCTCGCCTCCCCCTGTGTTTCAGCGTCTGCGGCCCTGACCTGCCCGAAGGAGATGAGCGGATTCGAGGGCGACACGGTGACCCTGCGGTGCACCTACGAGTCGGAGCTCAGGACGCACCCCAAGTACTGGTGTAGGGAGGTCGGGGTCTTCATCTCCCGCTGCTCCAGCAAGATCTTCTCGGGAGAGAACAGCCAGGATGTCATGGAGGGCCGAGTGTCCATCCGGGACAGCCCAGGAGAGCTGGCACTCGTGGTGAGCCTCAGGGGCCTCACGCTGAAGGACTCCGGGAAGTACTGGTGCGGGGCCCAGAGGCTGGGCCCAGACGAAGCCTGCCCAGTCTCCCTGACCGTTGTCCCAGGTAACAGCGTCCCCTCCCCACCTGGAACGCGGGAGAGCGGCAGGTGCTGGAAGCTGGAGCCGTGCTGGTGCCAACCTCACCCAGCCTCCTTCCCCGACCTGAAGCCCAGGGCTGGGAGCAAGGGGCGCCTGGGGGTCTAGCACCTAGCACCTCCCTGGCCCAGGAATGCACAGGACCCGCTGAGCCAAGAGGAGGGAGCCAGGGGGCCCCAGGTGGCACCTGAGGTCAATGCCCACCTCATAGATGGGAAACTGAGGCACAAGAGATGGGTTTGCCCAGGGCTCTGAGCCAGGAAGTGACAGCTGGGATTCCCCCGCAGGCCACTGCTGGCGTGGTTTCTTCCTTCCCCTCCTGGCCCTATGGAGGCCCCATCCCTGCCCCACCTACCCTCAGCACCAGGTCTTTGCCATCCAGGGTCTTTAATTCTGGAAAATAGAGCGAAACCCACTGAGCAACCTGGCCACACGGCGCGCTGACTGGTAGCCGGGAGGCCCTGGCTTCGTGCCACCGTAGAGAAGAGAATGAAAACCCCATGTCCGACCCGCCCTCCGTTTCTCCAGTGTTCTCCACCCAGCCTGCCAGTTCCTACGGGGCTCAGATGTGGTTGTGCCTAGCTGGGGCCAGCGGTGCCTGTTTCTGAGGCTCCCCGTTGCTCCCTACCCGTGCGTGCCCTGCACGCTCTCGCTGCCTCTTGGTCACACCTCGCCGGCCTCTGCGACAGCTGGGAGACCACAACAGGGCTGCGCTCAGGCCGGTGTCAGGGTGGCGGGGCAGGCGGAGGCCATGGCTTCAGTGGGTGTGGGGACCCGGGTGTCCTAGCCCAGGGGGCCCGGACAGAAGTGAGTGCTGCACAGCTGGGTGGCAGCCCCGAGGGGCGAGCGAGGGTCTGTGGGTGCTGAAGGAAGGGGCTCGCGCCCCAGGGGGAGGAGCTGACCTTGGCTGGTGCTGAGGTGCTGGCGCAGTGGAGAGGACCGGTCGTGCGAGGGGAACCACGTGGGAAGGTGCAGGCGCAGGAGGTCCGGAGCGGGTGGTCCAGGGTGCGGCTGGGCCCTGGGGCGCAGTGACAGCCGGCCAGCATTGGACTACAGGCGCGGCGCCCGGAGTCAGCGCCTCTGTGTGGCCGGGGAGCCGCCCGGTGTCCTGCGCCGGAGGCACGGGCCAGTGTGCACCTAGAGACAAGACCGCTGGGTGCGGGAGCCGGGAGGGGAGACAGAGGCAGGCCCCTCTCTCCAGGGGCAGACAGACCCGCAGCGACCACCGGGGCCCGCTGCCCACCCGTCCCCTCCTCCCGGCTCCCTCCGGCCACCACCGCCAGCCCGCGCCCCCCCCCCCCCCCCCGCACCGAGTGAGTGGCGCTCTCCGTCCGCAGGGGCGGCGCTGGCTGGCACCGCAGGGAGCTGGGCGTCCTGCCCAGGGCTGGGGTCATCGGTCGATCGGGCCACACAGGGCGCAGCAGGCGCGGGGCGCAGCCGTCCCCGGGCCCACGGGGCTGAGGGGTGAGGCAGGAAGGCCCACCGTGAGGGGTGCCGGCCGGGGAGGGGCGGGGAGGGCCAGCGCCGGCGCGCCAGGCCTCTGGGCTCCAGGGCAGCGCGCGGAGGGTAAGGCGGGGGCTGTGGCCGCCCCTCCCCGCGCACCTCGTGCTCCACCCTGGCCGCTCAGCCCCGGACCTACTGAGACACCGGTGCCCAGGGCCAGAGTTCAGGGGTCAAAGGTCAGCCCAGGCCCCGCGGCGCTGAGCCATGGTTTTCGGACTTAGCTTCTCCTGACCAGCGTCCGACAGCCCCCACCCCGCAGCAGGGGCACAGTGGGCCCGAGGCCTCGCCGCTCACGGAGACGGTCCCCTCTCGCCACACAGCCACCGCTCCTGAGGCCACTGCTCCAGAGGCCACCGCTCCTGACGCCGCGGCCGCGTCTCCTCCCGCAGGGAGCTCCCGCCCAACCACGCAGCCCGACTCCTCCTCCTCCGCAGTAGGGGACCCAGGTCCTGCCTCCAGCAGCCACAGTTCCATGCCCAGGTGAGCCCAGGTGGACCCTAAGCCATCCCTAAGCCATTAGTGACCACCACTCCTCCCTCTGCGCGGACATCTCAGGCCCTGTGGCACTGTCAGACTGGCTCTTGAGCAGTCCACATCCTGAACCACAGGAGCTGGCAGCCCCACCACCCTGGACACAGCCTGCTCGAGGTGAAAGGTCTAGGCTGGCCCTACCCCACCTCTGTTCCTTCCCCCACCTCAGGCACAACCACCCCAGTTCAGTGGGGTTTCCCTGCACCTGTTGCATCAGTGCTTTGCTGTGCTTAAAAATACAGAAACCCAACACCTTCCACCAATCCTTCCCTTCCCCAGCTGCGGCCCCAGCCCAGAGGAGGGGCTCAGGCTGCTCACAGGGCTCAGGAGGCTGCTAGCAGGGGTGACAAGGCATGCTGGGGGCCCCTGCCTGGGGCCAGGCCCCCACGAGAGGGCTGACTGGACCCTGGGTCCCCGTGGCCTCCGACCTCCTGGGCACAGGGACTCGGCCAGAACCCCCGTTGCCCCGAGCCCGGCTGGGCCAGCGCCCCACTCCCACCTAGGGATGAGGCCCACCAGGGGGTCCCCTCCCCCCAGAACCTCACTGGCCCCTACAGCAGGGGCTGCACCCTGGCCAGGTCCCTGCCAAGCTTGAGGTGTGGATGGTGGGGCTCGGGGCTCTGCCGCCTTGCCACGCACAGCGGCTCCACACTGGGAGCTGGCTTTCTGGCCGGGACGCAGAGGCCTCTCGGTGACTGCCGCCGTCTGGTCCGCAGCGTGTCCATCCCCACTACCCGCCTGCTGGCCCCCATCCTGGTGCTCCTGGCCCTGCTACTGGCTGCAGGTCTCATCGCCCTGAGCACCCACATGCTCTGGGGGTGGAGGCAAGGTGAGTGGGGTGGAGGGGCCCCAGGACACAGGCTCCATGCTGAAACCCCAGCTGGGGAGACTCTGGGCACACACAAGGCGCACAGCCTCCACTGCCCACCCGCTGGAGTGGGTCCCACGGCCCCTAACCCCGGCGAGGCCCTGACCCCCTGCAGGTCCAGCTCCATGCTCAGGGCCCGGCCGGGTGCACGATGAGCTCAGCGCCCACCCCAGGGTCTGCAAGGCGCCAGCCCATTCCCAGGCTGTGCTGCTTTAGCTGTGTGACCACCCCGAGCCTGTTTCCCCAAATGACAGATGTGTGGCAAGGGGGAATAGCATACAAGCCACAGGTGTCACTTAAAATCCTCTAGCTGGGCCTGGTGGTGCACACCTGTAATCCCACCACTTGAGAGGCTGAGGCAGGAGGATCGCCATGAGTTCTAGGCCAGCCTGGACTACATAGTGAAACCCTGTCTCAAGAAAAAAAAAACAAACTTTATTTAAAGAAATAAGCTACACGATCCCCAGTACCAAAAAAAAAGCTACTAAAGTTAATTTTAATAATATAGTTTATTTAACTCAGCATATGCAAACCATTATCAACTCAACAGGGAGCCAATATGAAATCTGGGGGGCGAGTGAGCTGCATCCCCAGCCCTTCTTTGTTTTTTATTTGACATAGGGTTTTGATAAGTCACTACCTTGCCCAGGCTGGGCTTGAACTTGTAGTTCTGCTTTGGCCCCACACAGTGCTCGGATTGTAGGCATTTGCCTTCAGGTCCAGCTAATAAGAAAATTCATGAAAGCCAGGCCTGGGAACAGACCTGTAGGCCCAGCTACTCAGGAAGCTGAAGCAGGAGGATCACTGAAGCCCAGGAGTTTGAGCCCAGCCTGGGCAGCACAATGAGACTTGGTCTTGGAAGGACCTAGACAGGAGCGGCCGTGGCCCACGTCCCGTCCTCCTGCTGGGCCGGGAGTGGCGTGAACTGGAGGAGCCGCGTGCCTGAGCCTGGTGGCCCTGGGCGGCTGCCGCTCCCGAGCTGACAGTGCAGACCAAGAGGCTGAAGTCGGACTCGGCTGCCCCGCACCGGCACAGTTCTGTGGCTGCTTCCCCCACCACCCAGGGCAGGAAACTGGCGCAGAGCAGTGCAGCGTCTGCAGAGCTCCAAGTGGCAGGGGAAGGTGACGCCCCGTGCAGGACCCCAGGAAGAAACATCAGCTCTCCCCACCCCTCTGGGTCCCTCAGACGAGTCCCGGAGGGGACACAGGGCCACATCCCAAGTCCACGAGCACTCGCCCTTCTGACCGCGGTGCCCACAGCGGGTGTGTCCCCCCATCCTGTTAGAAACAAGTGTCTCGGGGAGGCTGAGGCGGGAGGATTGCAAGTTCAAGGCCAGCCTGGACGATGCAGTGAAACCCTATCTCAGGAAAACAGCACAACCAGAACAAAGCTGTAAGCGGAGTGTGGGGCCCCTGTCCCGACTGCTGCATTTGAATCTGCATTTTAAGAAAATGCCCGGGGGGTCAGTCGCTTTGTGACCTCAGGTGTCACTTTTTGTTCTTGCAACAAATTCCTGAGAAGCGACGGCGGCAGGGTCTCCCTGGCTCAGGCTGCAGGAGGCTCCAGCCCTGTCCCTTTGGGCCTGTGGCAGCCCGCGGTGGCCAGAGCAGAGCTTCTCACCTCCGGGCAGCTGTCCCTGTCCCCGCTTCCTTCAGGGACCCAAAGCCCCACAAGGCGCAGCTTCCTAGTGGCTCGGAGCGGCCTTGGCAAGCACGCGGGGTCCCCAGGCTGAGCCAGGAAGGGGCTCCTTTGTCCCCCCGGTCCCCTGGGGCCCCACTGCCTGGGCAAGGGTCGCACGTGTGGGTGGCTGCTCCCGGCTTCACCCCGAGCCCTCCTGGGTCTCTTTCAGCTCTTTGGGCCGAGGATGCGCAGCGGGGCGAGAAGGTCCACCTCCCGGCTGCGGTAAGAACCCGCGAGCTCCAGGCCCAGGTGGCTTCTGTCCCCTCCTGGCCCCCTGTGTACCCCGGGGTGGGGCTCACCCCCACCTGGAAGAATCCTTGAGCCCTGAGGGTGGAAGCCGGGGCTGGAGCCCATCATCCCCCGAGGGCGCGAGAAGCAGGCGTCCCCTGGCCTGGCACTCTCTCTCTGCCCCTGAGGGAAGCAAAGATGGAGCCTCCTCGGTGTTGTGGTCCAGCCTTTCTCTCAGTGCACTGTACCCTGCAGTGCTGGCAGTCGGGGTGCTGTGAGAAACCCTGTCTCCCAGCCAGGGATGGGGTCGCACACCTGTCAGCCCAGCACTCAGGAGGCTGAGGCAGGAGGATCCCAAGTTCAAGCCCAGGCTGGACACCTAAGTGACCCAGTGAGACCCTATCACAAAATAAAAAATAAAAAGAGCTGAGGATGGTGCTCAGTGTGAAGGCCCTGGGCTCAGTCCCCAGCACTGCAAAAAGGAAAGAAGGGAGGGAGGGAGGGAGGGAAGGAAATCCTTGGGACCCAGCCCTGGTCCCAGCTGAGCCCTGCGGAGCTAGAGACTGGGCCTCGAATGACAACTAGACTCTGCTTTTGCAAAAGGGGAAACTGAGGCCCATGGGGGGAACGGTGTTGCCTGAGGTCATGCAGACGGGTCCCCACCAGGAGCCAGGATGGGGTCTCGGCCCCCAGCTTTCCCGGTCCCCTGAGCCCCTTTGGCTCTGAGGCCAGGGTGAGGGTGGCACTCGGGGGGCGAGGGAGCCTTGCCGGCCTCTGGGATGGGCCCCGCTGCTCCTCCACAGGGAGTGGGCTCCCCACCTGCTGCACTGCCCCTGGACTCCGTGAGCCCCGGGCAGGAAAGGGGCGCTGCCATCCCCGTCTTTCCTGGCGCCAGCGAGGACAAAAGACTTGGTGGGTCCCCGGGGAGGGCGGTGGGACAGGTCTCCTGTACTGCAGGAAGCAGCTGCTATCTCAGGAAGCCGAGGACAGGGCCAAAGGCAGCCCGGGAGTGAGGGCGAAGCTGCCTTGGGGGAGGGTCAGGGCCACCGCAGAGCCTCCGGGGCCGGGCCCCCCTGTGCCAAACCCCCGCCTGTCCCTGCTCCCTGCCGCTCTGCTGTGGCCAAGCACCCCCATTCTCACTGGCCGACTCTGCCTCCCTTGCAGGCGCTGGGTGCCAGCTGGGTCCCCAAGGGCACCGCGGTCAGCCTTGCCGGATACCCCAGCTCCCTTGCCCGCTCCTCCCCGGGCTCCTCCAGGAAACCTGCTGCCTGAGCCAGGTGGGAGGAGGCTGGGCCGGGCTGACCAGGAGGACGGGGTCCCACGCCCCTCGGTCTGGCAGCCGCCACCCAGGGCCAGTCCACCCGAAGGCAGGGCCCCTGACTTTTCTTCTTTGTCCAGGAAATTATTATTATTTTGTTTTTTTGAGACAGTGGCTCACTGTGTAGTCCAGGCTGGCCTTGAGCTCACAGCCATCCTCCTGCCTCAGCCTCCCGAGTGCTGGGATTGCAGGCTGAGGGCAGTTGCCTAATGAGCCCTGGGCTGCAGGAGCCCCAGACAGAGGCCTGGGGAACCGAAGAGGATGGAGGAGGTGGAAGGGGCAAGAAGCAAAGCCGGTCTTGGGGAGGAGTTGTGTCCCTGAGCCCCCGAGGCTTGACAGGCGGGGACCGGGGGACAGTAGAGTGGGCACAGCCGCTGCCCGGACACCCCGGCCTCATGGCGCCCCAGCCCTGAGACAGCCTCACGCTGTCTCTCCAGGCCCGACGGGAGGAGGAAGCCCCGGCGCAGGCCCCTGAGGCAGAGGAAACCTCTGCGCCTTGCCGGTCCGAGGAGGAGGAGGAGGAGGAGGAGGAGGAGCCGGACCCCGCCAAGTTCATCGCAGTGTAGCTGCGGACACTGCCAGCTGGCCTCGCCCCAACACTCGTGATCCCGCTGCTGCCCTCCCTGGGCTCCCGGGGCCTCCACACTGAGTGACATCCCCAGCCCTTATTGTTTTTGAGACTGGGTCTCATTAAGTTTCTGAGTTGCCCAGCTGGGCCTGAACTTAGATCCTCCTGCCTCAGCCTCCCAGTGCTGAGTGAGCCCGGCACCCAGACTCCCTTCTGTGTGGCCCCAGCGTGGCCAAGGGGAGAGCAGGACCCAGCTGTGTGCCCCCACCGGGTCAGGCAGGTCGCTGGACATCTCCCCTCCAGGAAACCCCGCACTTGGGGTTTCCTCAGACCCAACGCTGGGTGAGCCCGACTTCCATCTCCGAACCAGGCCGAGAGCCTCCGAGCCTGGCCTTGGGGACACCTGGCCACATCAGGACCCCCGCTCATCTCAGGTCGGGCCAGGGCTCTGTCTAACACGTGTCCGGTGACTTCCTGGGGGTGAGGACTGCGGCCAGATGAACCCTCTGACGCCAGCTTGTGGGGTCCACCCTGGGGCCAGCAGGGGGCTTCCTGGGGCCCGGGGTGCAGGCACTGCTGGTCCCTGCTCCAGGTCCTGCCCCCTGACTGTGGGGTGCAGGAAGCACAGTTCCTTCCTGTCTAGAGAGGCTCCCTGTGCCTGGGTCCCGGGTTGGGGCAGGGGCGGAAGAGGACCCAAGTCATGGCCCGGGCCCTGGGGGAGAAGCAGAGCCACATACACATGGTTTTCTGTTTCCTCTTTAAAAGTAAGGTGGGGGTGCTCAGTGTACAAAACTCAGCTGGGGAGGAAAACCAGGAAGGAAAGTTGTAGGGGGTCCTGCCCCCCCCCCGCTGGAACTCTTGAGTGCCTTCTACGGACATGCCCGGGCTTGCTGCAAATCTACCCAGCAACAAGGAAGTAGCCCCAGTACCCTCCCCTTGCTCCTCCCCTCTCGCCCTACGGTATATATGTTGTA